CGCGTGGCGGTGGCGGCGTCGAGGCGGCGGGCGACGAGGAGGCGCTGGCGCAGCTGCGGCCGCTGCTGGAGGTGCAGGATGAAAACCTGGTGACGGGGCGCATCGTGGCCATCACGGGAGGTCAGTGCTGACTCGCCCAGGCTGGCTGGGAGAGGGGGCCCTCCAAACTGCTGGCTGGGAGGGTGGGATCTCCCACAAGCCATGGTGGAGGCTGCACGTTTGCTGCCGTGCCTGCTCCAACTGACACGAGTATCACCGGGCCTGCCTTCAACGACGTGCCTGCGCCTTGCATCCTTGTAGGTGACCCCGACCGTGCCGAGCAGCTGCTGCTGTCCAGCTCCCGCCCCACCGCCGCCATCGAGGTGCGGCGCCAGCTGGGCCACTGGGATCGCGCCATCGAGCTGGCTGAAGAGCTGGAGCCGCATGCGGTGGGCAGCCTGTCGCTGCTGCGGGCGCAGGCACTGGAGGCGGATGGGCAGGTGGGGATTCCTGAGGGTCTGCTCTTATCACCATACGAGCAGTAGTACTGCAAGAATGTGCAGCTGTTGCTGCTGCTCGCCTTGCCCGCCTCATTCGCTACCATCCACTCACACGCAATGCTCCTGCTGCTGCCGATGCTCCTCTTGCCGGCGTGCCGCAGGTGGGCGCAGCCATGGCTTTGTACCAGCAGGCTGTGGCGGAGCCAGACCTCGTGACGGGAGGTGCCGCGGCCGCGTACCAGCGCCGGGCCGAGTGCGAGGCGGGCATGGCTAGGTGCAGCATCCTGCTGGGGGATGTGGAGCAGGGCATGGAGCTGGCAGCGGCCAGCGGCAGCGCCGACCTCGTGCTGGAGTGCGCTGCGCTGCTGGACCAGGCGCAGCATGCCAAGGAGGTGGGCTGGGGCTGGGGCTGGGGCTGGGGCTGCGGTGTGTGGGGGTGAATGTTGGGGTGTCTGTAGGTGCGTGGAATTGTGGGGTGGTGGTGGTGGCGGTGGTGCCTGTTCATGTTCAATGCCATTTTTGTATTAGAGAGGCTCTTCAGGCTTCGCTGGCCTGCGCCCTTTGCCAACAGCCAAACGTACGCCGCTCCTCCTGCGTGCCGCCGGGTGCAGGCGGGGCAGCTGTATGCTCAGGCGGGGCAGCCCGAGCGCGCGGCGCGGCTCTTCCTGAGCTGCCGCGAGTTTTCACTGCTGGATGGCATGATGACGCACGCCGGCAGCCCCGAGCTGTGGCTCAAGTATGCCCAGACCAAGGAAGGTAAGGCGGCAGCAGCAGCGCGGCGGCGGCCTGCGGGAGAGTGGCGGATGGCGCATCTTGGCCATGCCCCTTCTCCCCAAGGCTGTTTCCTTGCTTGCCAGCACTGCTGCCAGGCGAGGATAGAGCTCTCTGCCAGTCATTTTGTTTCTCCTGCCACTAGACAGCTACCCAACCAATCCCCTACCATGTTTCTACCCAACTACTCCTGCAGACCTGGGCAGCTTCCGAGATGCCGTGCATGCATACGAGCAGGCGGGCGACATCCCGGCGGCAGTGCGGGTGCTGCTGGAGCGCCTGGAGGATGCTGACTCAGCCGCCCAGCTGGCACAGCGTGCGCACAGCGCGGAGGCCAGCCTGGCGGTGGCCCGCCACTGCGAGCGCAGCGGCAGGCTGGAGCTGGCCATGGAGCTGTACTGCACCGGAGGCAACTGTACCGCAGCTTTCCTGCTGGCCCAGCGCAACGGCTGCATGGCCGCGTTTGCCGACTGGGCGCGCCGCCACGCCAGCGCCGAGGCCGCCCAGCTGGCGGCCACCCACTACGAAGTGGACAAGCAGCTGGCGCTGGCCGCAGAGCTCAGCGCGCTGGCGGGCAAGCACGAGCACGCGGCCCGGCTCTTCATCCAGGCAAGCGCAGCGCTGCCCTTCTGCCAGCACATCTACTCCACGCCCACACCCGGTCCTCCAAGCTGCCACCACACTCCGCTATGTGTTGGCATCGACGGTGCACTGGCGTTTTTGGCTCGTTTTTGCCCACCCCGCTCACTCGTGCAGGCCGGTGGCGACTCCATCGCTGCCGCCATCCAGCTGGCTGGGGACGTCAAAGAGCCCGCTGTTGTGGCGGTGGTGCTGGAGCACCTGCAGGTGCGGCAGGTGCTGTCTTTCGCCGATCACCAGGTTCAGGCAGGGCCGCCCTTCAGCAACACCCATGGGTATGTTTGGTGATGCACGTTGCTTGCTCTCTATGTGTCCATCGTTGGGCTCCGCAGGCGGTGGATGCTGTAGGGCCCGCATTGCTGGAGCTCCACCTCAGGCTGGGCAACAGCGAGCAGGCCTGCGCGGTAGCGGTGGCCCGTGCCCAGCAGGAGCAGGCGAATGGCAACTACAAGGTTGGTTGTGGGTTGTTCTGGTTGGGGTGCAAGGTTGGCTGGGAAGACATGTGGTGGTGCTGGGGAGGGGTGCGTTTGGTGCTGGGCAGGGGTGCGTGCACATGCAGGCTGTTCCGTGGGCTGTCCTTATCGTTAGGCCGCCCGCTTTTAGCCCTGCGGAGAGCAAGAATTTTGCCTGCTGGGTCCCACGTGGGCTGGGGCTGTCTGTGCCACCCGCTCCGGCTGGTTGGCGGCTGTCAGCGGCCCGGGCACGGGACCGCCAGTGCCAGGTTACATTCCAGCTGCTGCTGCTGCTGCTGCCTTCTGCATTGTCAGACATTTTCTGTGTCCGACAGGCACAGTGCACTGCCTCGTAGTGGTCCACTGCCACCACCGGCCTGCTGCTGCCATTGCCCACCTACATGCTGCACCCCAGGCCCCTCCTCCCCACCTGCACACACACGCAGGTGGCACGGGACCAGCTGCTCCAAGTGTGCCTGCAGCTGCAGCAGCACGGCGCCGCCGCCACCCAGCCCCTGCTCTCCGCGCTGCACCTGCTGCACACCTACCTCCTGGTTCGCCAGCTGGTGCGGCAGGGGGACCATCTGGCAGCCGCCCGCCTGCTGCTGGTGGTGGCCGACAGCATACAGGCCTTCCCCAAGCATGTGGTGCCCATCCTGACGTCTACCGTCATTGAGTGCCACCGCGCCGCGCTGCACAGCCCCGCTCAGGTGGGCCGACGGGCTGGGACGGCGGCCCGGCGGTGCTGCCAGTGCTGCCAAGGCCCGCCAGATCCCTGTTGATCCTGGGGAGGATGAGCAGTCTGCCTGCCCCCTGCCTGCTCACAGCTGCTTCACACACCCACTACCATCACCACATTACAGCCTCTGTTGCGGTGCTGTCGATGCGTGCAGCGCTGGGCGGCGGTGCTGACTGACCAGCATGCCGGCCAGGTGTCGGCGGCCTATGCCAAGAAGATTGAGGCAATCGCCAAGCAGCCCGCCTGGTGGGTGGCCGGGTGGCTGGATGCCGCAGCGTGGCCGTGCAGACTTGGCATGGGGGTGCGGCAGGCGGAGGCGGCGCAGTGCTGTGAGGCCAGGGAGATGTGTGCCTGGGGGGCGCTTTTGGGTTTGGAGATAACGGCGGTCCTGGCTCTTGATGGCGCCATGGTAGTGCTGCTGCTGCAGGACGGCCGACGGGGAGCTGGCAGAGCCGCTGGGCGACTGCCTGTTCTGCGGCGCCGCCGGCCCCGACACCAGCCTGGCCTGCACTACATGCCAGCGGGCGCTGCCGTTCTGCGCCGCCAGCGGCAAGCGCATGCTGCTGGGCGACTGGAGCGAGTGCCCCAGTGAGTGCTGCTGGCTGGCTCGCTGGCTGACGGTTGAGTGCATGCTTCTGACAAGCTCCAGACGCCTTCCAACCAGCCGCGGATACTCAGACGCCGTCCTATCTGGCCGCACGCTGCGCTCCACTCCTCCGGTGCCCCTGCTCCACCCCGCAGGCTGCCACTTTCCGTGCCGCGGCCGCGACATGACTCACGCAGCCTCTGTGGAGCACGCGTGCCCGCTGTGTGAGGCGGCGGTGGAGGTGCACGACGTGCGCCGCATCTTTGACCCCATCTCCCACTGCCGCCGCACCGTGTTTGCGGGCATGCTGGCGGGCAGCCGCAAGGAGCGGCCGTGAGGCGGCGGGCGGCAGGCAGCCTAGCTATGACTTCGCCCCCTCAAGCGTTGGAATCACGCTGAACTTGAACCACTGTTTGCTCTCTGTTCACAACTAACACCTCTTTCAAATGATACGTCCTCTCCCCAGCAAGCTACTGTAATCGGCAGCACCAGAAGGACAGACCCATGGCTGTTGCGTTGCATTCTCCGCGCTCTACCGCCGCTGTACTGCGCACACACGACAACCCTGTCACGCCGGAGAAGCGTGCTCACCTGCGCTTTGTGAACCTTTCGTTGCTCACCTGGGCCCTGTCGATCGACTCGGCGGCATCCAAACCAGCAGCAGCAGGTGCAGCAGCTGCAACTCCTCCGCGACTGACACAGGCCACTAATTCTTCCAGTGGAAGTCCTGCCGGAGGTGCATCCCGTACGCAGCGACGTGGTGGTGGTCGCGGGTGTGGGGAGGCTGTGTGCTGTTACGCAGGTACTTGCTGTGTTGTTTACACCTGAACCAAAATAATTTGTGCGAACCAGCAGGCGCGCCAGCCGCACATCCGTCTCAGAGCCGCGCCGCCGCGAGGCAGCTGCGCGCGCCAACCAGCCCGGCGCGCGTGGTTCCCGGCTGCTGCAGGCATCATGGTGAACCCGCTCGATCTAATGGTGCCCATGGGGCATCAGCATCGTGATGGGGCACTGGTGCTCTAGTTCCCTCCTGGCAACGTGGCGGCAGAGGGTTCAGAGCACACCGCTAAGCGGCCCAGGACTCGGCATGCTGCTCACCTGCAGCAGCAGCCGCGCCGCGTCAAGCTGCCGGTCTGCACGGCCCTGCTGGCGACGATGTCGGAGAAGTTCCGGTGAGGGAAGAAAATAACTGCCGCCTCGAGAATTCAGCCAGCATGCCATGCATCCACACCGCTCGCCTGCCTCCCCTTTCCCCTGCCCAGGGCCTGGATAGAGCACTGGCCAGTCAATGCTGCGAAAGAGCTGGTGGTGCAGTGTTGCGACGAGGCTGAGGAGGCTGTTTATCAGCGCCTGGTGGCCTTCATTCACAGCATAGGCGGCGAGGTTCCTGAGGGTGCGCCAAGCGTCGGAGGGTGTGGCTGCCAGCTGCCAGCATCCTCCCATGCGCATGGCCTCACCATCAAGCAGCGCCACGCTCCAAGCAAACTTGTGCACTGCTGCAGGCTTTGAGGCTCAGGTTCAGCTGCTGCTGCTGGCGCGGGAACATGCGGTGGAGGTGGCAGTGCTGGCCTGTGTGCAGCAGCTGCAGCAGCAGGTGAGCTGTGCTTTGATCGCCAGCGCTGCTTCTGAATGCCCAACACCATCGTATGTGAGAAGTGATGCCTGGGTGCGTTGTGCAGGTGCCGACTATGTCTGCCACGCCATGCCTCACCCTGTTGTCAGTCCTGGAGACTGGCACCTCGGGCCACGACCAACTTCAGGCCAAGGCAGACAAGCTGGCGGCAGCTGCATGTGACAGGTTGTGCAAGCTGCTGGTGGCAGGCACCTCCATGGCTGAATCTGGAGAGCAGCAGCAGCTGCTGCAGTATCTGGGACCGATGCAGGTCATGCTGAACAGCGAGCGGCGGCGCAAGTTGTTTGCCCGCATCCCATTTGGCCTGCTGCGGGTGAGCCAGCACCTGCCTGATGGGCTTGCAGGCACATCAGTGTCTCTCGCGGCTGCAAGACTGTGGCAAGAGGCTGTGCGCTTGCCCGAATGCCGCAGGATTGCATTTTTGCTGACGACAGTGTGGATGCAGACACCGAGACCACAGGTTGTACTGCTACTGCTGCTAAGCTGGCATGTCCGGGCCCCAGTTCTAGCTCCGACCTACTCACTCGTCCACTGTGCACACAACCTGCAGTGCTGGCGGCCTTTGCCTACTGGGCGGAGCGCAACATTAAGGCCACCGACCCAGGCGCCAGAGAGCGCATCGCCACCATCTGCTGCCGCATCCGCTTCCCAGCCATCCCAGTCAGCGTGCTGTGGAACTACCACATGCGGCACGAGTTCATGCGCATCTTTGATCCCGACAAGGCGCTGCTGTTCCGAGCGGTGAGGCACCAGCGTTTCTGCTTGCTTGCACCTCTGCTTGCTTGCACCTATGCTTGGTTTCACTCACCTGGCCTATTTGGCTGTTGCATGGGTGCAGGTAGCAGAACCATCAGTAGCTGCAGCTTGGCAGGAGCTCCTTGCAACCGGCGGCGCAGCAGACACCCTCGTGGCCAACTGCGAGCGCTGGTGGACGCCGCGCCCTCATCTGCTGGCAAGGCACTCAAAGGCAGCAGATTTTGAGCTTCAGGTGAGTATGCCAATGCATGTTTCGTTGCCGGGCGGACTTGCCGACAGACTGTCCTGAGTGTAGCCGAAATCACCTGCCTGCAGGCTACACGCCCTTCAGGCCCCTCTGTGTACACAAACCCTTGTTACTGGGGGGGTTACTATTGGCGAGTGAGACTGCTGCAAAATGATGACAACTTACACATTTACCTTTACCCATCAATTGACTACGCCTGCAAGGGCTTCCCTGATTTTGACAAAGGGAACCAGGGGCTGTATGGCATCAAGGTGCTCTGAGAAACATGCCTTTTCTCCGCAAGTCATTTCCTGTGGTTGTGTTTCACCTGGCCCTGCTGTTGCTGCAGGTGAAGTACGCACTTCAGCTTTGCGCCTCTCAAAGTCTGGCTGTCAAACAAGGCACCAAGTCGTTTTTGCCCAGTGCCGGATGCGGCTCTGGCAAGCGTACTGTGAAGAACACCTCACAGCACGGCGGGCAGCCCATCACCTGGGATGGCTTCTGGGCGGAGGACTCCCGCTTCATGCACAATGGCGCCGCCCGCGTGCGCCTGGAGCTGCGAATGCGCCGCAGCTAGCGCCAGGCGAGATCATGCTCCACAGTTAGCGCCAGGCGAGATGTGGAGTGTGCGCAGCACTTGCTTGGGTGACGGCAGGAAGCAAAACCAACTCGTCGGCAGGAGGCGGCGATGGCTTGGCTGCAGTCCCCGAGTAGGACCATCTTCTGTACATCAAACACCATGTTGATTTTTCTCGACGTGTAATACATATTTGCCTGAGCCCCAACGGGTGTGGAGGCAGACGGCAGCTGCGCACAGCCAGCGAGGCGCGGCCATGTCAACTCAAACGGACGCCATTCCAGCCAAACCGTAAAGCTCCAGCACTTGTCGCACCCCGTCATTGCTTGCTTTGCGAACGCCCAGCCCAGAAACGCCGTTGAACCTCTTGTTTGCTGCGGTGAGCGAGCGGCTGTGCGGCGCGGGGGGGTTGACCGCAGGGACTGACAGAGAGGGCTTTATGCAGCGACTTTGAAGGGGGTGATGCCGCTCTAGAACTGTGCCGACCGCTGCCGCCGCCACACGCCCACCCCGCTGCTCTATTGCCTGGCCTGCAGGTGCCGCGCTGGCCTTTGTTTCCCTGCAGAATCCTTTTTGTATTAAGCTCACAGTCGGCAGCACTGCATCCAACCAGTTCTCCCCGCAGACATAGCAGGCCGCCAGCCGGATGGCTGGCCGGGCGTCGGCGGCGCGGGCCGCCAGGCGCCACCTGATCGCCACCGGCGTCGGCTTCACCGCCGCTCTGGCGGTCGCCAAGGCCTTCATCGTGCCCCAGTCCGCGGAGAGCGAGGGCGCCGAGGGCGACCAGAAGAGGGAGCTGAAGCTGGTGCAGGTCGTGTTCAGGTGCGCCTGGCAGGCTGCTGGTGCTCAAACCACCTTGTCCACCTTGTGTGATTTGTGTGTTTGATCGATCCGCCTGCCAGCCTGCCGTGGTGCTGGCAGCTGGCGCAGCGCTGGAGCCAGGTCTGCCGCGCCTGCAAGGGGCACGGCTGCGCTGCACCCGTCCCCAACCGGCCGTCTAACTTTCTGCCTGGTGGTGCAGGCACGGTGCCCGCACCCCGCTTGGGCAAAAGTACTGGCCTGAGCTAGGTGGGTCGCGGCCTGCGCCTCAGTTGCCGATGAGCTGGCAGCTGCTGAGCTGGCACGCACATGCAACTCCTCGTACTAAGGGCGTCTGAGGTGCCTGCCCACACCTGGCAGCGCTGGGCCGCTCACGCCGCAGTTCTGCCACCCGCTCTCCTGCCTGACCGGTGCAGGCCCCAAGTGGGATGTGTGCGGCAAGGCCTATGATGCAGTGCCGGTGAATGTGCTGGCGATAGATGGCAGGCCACGGCCAATCAATCAGGACGATGAAAAGCAGGTGATTTGCATGGGGGCAGCCGCCAGCCAGAGCCTTACAAGAGCACCATGCCCACAGCAGCTGCTCTCTCTCGGCGCATTGTTTGCCACGTGCCCTGCCTTGCCCTGCCCTCCCCCGCTCGTCCCCGTCCAACCTGCCTGCCCGCCTGCCTTCTCCTGCGAAGCAGGTCAGGCAGAGGTACGAGGGCGGCTGCTCCAAGGGCGAGCTGACGCTAGTAGGGCAGCAGCAGGCGCTGGCGTTTGGGCGCTGGCTGCGCTGGCGCTACCACTTGGTGCACGGCGTGCTGCCGGGCGCGCACGCCGAGGGAGTGGTCAACGCCCGCACCACAAACTACTCGCGCACCATCGCCACCCTGCAGGTGGGCTGGCGGTGTGTGTTGGTGTGTGTGTGTGTGTGTGGTTTGGCTGGAGCTGGTGGTTGTGGCTGGGCGGGCTGCGGCGATGCGGGGTGTGGTCCACGGCGGCAGCCTCCTGGGTTGCTGCTTCCAGCCCAGCTCCTCGACCGCCAATCGTACGGTCCTGCCCCCACGAACCACCCCTGCTGCGCAGGGGGTGCTGAGCGGGCTGTTCCCCGGCACGGCACATCCCATCACGGTGCACACCACAGAAGAGATCGACGAGGTGCTGTACACCAACGTGAAGAGCTGCGGCAGGCTGCACCAGCTGATGCAGGACCTGCACCGGCAGCAGCGAGGTGAGGGGGCTGCCCGTGGATGGCATGCGGCGCTTGGGGTGCAGCCAAGCGTCCCGCGGGGTGGAGAAGGCTTAGTCAGGCGCTGGCTGCTGCTGGCTGGTGTGGTGTGGAGCGGGGCGGAGATGCAGCACCTCGGGCTCTCGCTGCCTGGGCTGTTGGATTACGCGCTGCTGTGCCCTCCCCTTGCCGCTTCCCGCTCGATTCCCGCCCGCTCGCCCGCCTGCGTCCCCGCCGCCGCCGCAGAGGCGTCGGAGCTGGGCGCCGACCCGGCGGTGGAGGCGGGCAGGCAGGGGTGGCGTGGGGCCTGGGGCCTGCGGGCCGACAACCCGTCAGCTTTGTGGAACTGCATTACGCAATTGCCCGGCAGCAGACCCCCCGGCAGGGAGGGGCCCCCGGGGAGGGCCAGGGGAGGGGTGTGCTGAACGCCCAGTCGGGCCCTGGCCTTGCTCTTTCCTTTTCCGGTTTCCGTTTTGGCTGATGCTGCGGTGCTGGCTGCCTCTGGGACTGCGGAGCGCCTCCCCATCGGGCGCGTTTGCTTGCGATTCCGGAGCAGCTGCAGTGCCGCCGCCCGAAAGGTTAAATTTCAGAGCTTCCGCCGCACCTTGCCACCCACCCTGCCCCGCGCGGCTGGCTGCAGGCATGCGGGACGAGCAGCTCCTGCGGGACATCGACCGCCTGGCAACCGCCCGCTTCATGCACGTCATCGCGCCGCACCCCGACACAGGTCTGGCCTGATTTGAGGGCATGGGCCGGGGTTGGCTCGCCTGCTGCGGCTGCTGACTGACTGCACGGGCGGCACACGCGGCACCACCTGCCCCTGCCTGTCAACCTGCCGCTGCCTGCCTGCCTGGCGCCGGCGCTGGTTGGCTGCAGGCAAGACTCACGAGGTGCTGCGGCTGGGCATGGGAGTTCTGATGGAGATGATGGTGCGGCGCATGGAGGCGGCGGCGGCGGGCGAGGCGGGGGACACCCGTATGTTCCTCTACTCTGGCCACGACAGCAGCCTGATGCCGCTGCTGGCGGCGCTGGGCAAGCACGTGGAGGACTGGCCGCCCTACCTGTCCAACCTCACGCTGGAGCTGTGGCAGCAGCCCAGCGGCCAGCACTTTGTCAAGGCAAGATTGGCGGCGTGTAGTGTCTGTGGTGGTGGTTTGTGTGTGTGGTTGTGGGGGACGAAAGGTGGGACATGCGGGCGAGGCGGGGAACTCCAAGCTGGGGTTGCATCAGGGCAGTTGTGACTAGCCCTAGTCTGTGCTGATCCGGTATGTACTGCTTGGCTTGTACCGCCTGTCCCGCAGGTGCTGTACAACAAGAAGGAGCTGCCGCTGGAGGACCTGTGTGGGGCACCCGCGTGCGAGCTGCAGCTGTTCAAGTGAGGCCCTGCCTCTGCCCAACCCTGTGCCTGCCCCCCCGCCCAACCACCCTTGCCATGTTTGAGCCTGCTGCCTCAATCTGATGCGCTTCTGCCACTCATCTGTCCTGGGCTGCGCCGTGCAGAGAGAAGGTCATCGGGCCTTACCTTCTTACCAAAGACCAGCACCAGAAGGAGTGCATGCTGCACTTCTTGCACGATAAGCCGGCTGGAGAGCACACAGAGACGGAGGAGGTGCAGGTGGGCAGCTCCTTCCAGGAAGAGGCAGACCCAAAGGCGCCCAGCGGCGGCACAGCGGTGGCAGCGGTGGGCAAAGCGGCGGGCAAGGGCAGCGAGCAGGCCAACCCGCTGCAAAGCATCGCAGAGGAAGTGTGATAGCGGGACGAGGTTGTGATCGCTGGATTGCAATCACCTGAACTGCTAAATAGCTTCAAGAACCTTCTCGCCCAGCACTGCTTGATTTTTGCCGGCCCCGCTGCTGCTTCACTCAATTGTTGCTGCTCAGCAGCATCCATTTTGTTTCCATTTTCATTTTGCATTGTGTTGCAACCCAATCACACAAATGCACGCGTCCTGGAGGCGATGGCTACTCGGCAGACGGGGCAGGCCGACATGCGCTCGCTGCACGCCCTGCACACACACACAAGCACACACCACAGCAGCACAAAGTCGTGGGCATCCACTTGTGCTGCTCTATTCCTGCCAGCGATGCAAGGCGTGCAGCGCTAGCTTGCCTGCAGATGAGGTGGCCGCAGTTGAGGAAGGTATCCCGCTGGCTGGCCCAGCAGATGCCGCAGGTCAGCTGGCTGGCGGCGGAGGCCTCCAGCTCGCTGCGGGCCGCCTCGATGCGCCGCTCGGTCACGATGTTCCTGGTGGCGTTGTGTGTGACACATGGTGGCGGTTGGACTGGGTGGAGACAGGTCCAGGCACTGGCAGGGCATGTGCCCCTGAGAGTATTGACAGAAAGCCTTACTGTGTTCCCCAGGGCTCAAGAGAGCGGCCCACCTGAGCTTGGGCACCGCCGCCTCTATGGTCCCCACCAGCTGCTCCAGCTGCCCCAGATCCTGCGCCCGGCACGCCTCCTCGCTGCCCTCGATGCACCGCATGCGCGCCGCCAGCACGCCGTGGTCGAGGCGCAGGCCTGCCAGCTCGGCTTGCACCTCCTGCACGCAGGTGGTGATGATATAAGGCAGGAGAGCTGAGCTGATGTGCACGTGCGTGTGTGGGCTGCAGGTGGGTGAGCTGGTTGGGATCTGGTGGTGGTGGTTGCGGTGGTGCACTAGCGACCTGCATCTGGGGCCCAACGCCACCCCTCCCACCTGCAGCTGCTCCAAAGCCTCCTCCTTCTCGCCGCCCTCCAGCCGCAGCGACAGGCGCAGCGCGGCCGCCTCCTGCTGGCAGTCGTGGGCCGCCGCCGCCGCCTCCTGCTGCTCCGCCTCAAGCAGGCGCACCGCCGCCTGCCGCTCCTCCAGCGCTTCGCCCCGCTCCCTCAGCAGCGCCTGCTGCCCCGCCGCCTGCGGCCAGGCACCGGTGGCGGCAGCGGGCGTCGACTGTGTGTCTGTCACTCGGTGGGCAGCGGAGATAGCTTCAGCAAGTTCGTGGTGGGCCGGCGCTCCACACCACCCAGCCACCCACCTGCTCAGACAAGTCGTGCAGGCGCTGCTCCAGATGCGCCAGCGCCGCCTCCTGCTCCCGCATCACACCCTCCGCAGCCGACCTGGCCTCCTCTGCCTGCTGCTGGGCCGCCACCAGGCTGCGGCAGTCGCCATCCAGCGCCTCGAGGCGGCCATCTGCCTCCCGCAGCTGGGCCAGCAGGGCGGCCCTGCCCTCCTCCGCCTGCTGCCGCTGCTGGCGCTCCGATGCAGCTCGCGCCTCGGCGGCGGCCGCCTCCTCTCTCGCCCGCTGTGCCTGCTGCCGCAGGCTGCCGTTGCGCAGCTCCAGCTCACGCCGCGCCTGCACCGCCTCCTCCACCTGCCGAAGCCACGAAGCCGTCTCTCGCTGCTCCTGCTCCCGAAGCTGCTCCACCTCTCCCTCCCTGGCCCGCGCCACCTCATCAGCTTCAGCGAGCTGAGCTTCCACCTCCCTGCGCTGCTGCTGCTCCAGCTCCAGCTGCCGCCGCTCCTCGAGGAGCTGCTGCCGCAGTCCAGCGGCATGCTCGGTGGCGGCGGCCGCCAAGCAATGGTGCTCATGCAGCTGAGCAGCCAGCGCGTCTGTCTGGCTCCTCGCCTTTCCCTTCTCCCGCGCCAGTGCCTGCTCAGCTTCCTTCAGCTGCTGCCGCAGCGAATCAACCGCGTGCTGCAGGCCTGATGCCCTCCCCTGCTCTAACTCCAATTGCGTCTCCAAAGATGCCAGCTGCTCTCGCGCCTGCCGGGCTGCCGCCTCAGCCGCCTCCATCGCCGCCACATGCCGCTCAGCTGCCTCCTGTGCGGACACTGCCTGCTCCTGCGCCCTGCGAGCCTGCAGTGCATCCCAGCCCAGCATCAGTTACTGAGGTGCAATGGTGAACTGCTGAGCAGCCATCAGTACCTGGTACCGCGCCTCCCACAGCTGTCCCTCGGCTTCCCGCGCCCGCCCCCGCTCCGTCGCCATCAGCCGGTCTACCAGCTGCCACAGCTCGTGCCGCTGCCGCCGCGCCTGCTGCACCGCCGCTTCCGCCTCTGCCACCCCGGCCTGCGCCTCCAGAAGCGCCTGTGCCGCAGGGCGATGCCCCTGGTCATCTGTCGCTGCCGAGCGCTGCTGCCCCTGTGGGCTGCTCGGGCACAGAGCCGAGGGCAGAGGCCCGGGGCTGGAGAGACTGCTGTCGGAGTGTGCTGCAGTACTGGCAGCAGGCGAGCCGCCCCGGTCAAAAAACTGCAGGTGCCGCTTGGGCACTGCGGTCGTCTGTGGTGGCGCTGAAGCCCGCCCCGTGGGCAGCGCCCGCGGGGTGGCGCTCTGCTGCGTGGGCAGCGCGGCGTCCACCGAGCCTGGCCTGCTGACGGCTGCCTCTCCGCGTCTCAGCAGCAGCTCCTGCTCCGAGCCCGGCCGGCTGGCGGCTGCCTCTCCGCGCACGGCTGGGGTGAAGGGGCCCTGAGAAGGGCTGGTGCTGGCAGCCGAGGCTGCTTCGCCTCCAAGGCTGCCAGGCTGTGAGGGGTGCTGCATGGCCATCAGCCTGGGAGTGAGGGCCTGACAGAGTGCCTGGAAGCAAGGAGAACTTGGCTCACGTGTCGCTGGGAGACTTTCCATGATCATTTGGGCGCCTGCACATCCACAGAGGTCATGTATAGAAGAGCTGGGCAGCAACTGCTCAAACCCTAGCCATGCTTGCTGCGTTTGGGGGCGAGCAGGGTAGCAGCGTGCAGGTCGTGGAGCCAGCCACCCCTGCAGCTGCGAGCGCTGCAGCAGCAGGCAGCCGGCAGCAGCTCGGGGGCAGCGAGGGACAGGAGCCGCAGGCGGTCGATGCCACCGAGGCGGCGGCGGCGGCTGGGGCGGGCGCGCTGCTCCCCAGCCAGCCAGCCTGCCTGGACGCACCAATGCACCTCATGCGAGTGCGCAGCATCCCCAGGTGGGCTGCCCAGCCCCACACTGGCAGTCAACCCCTTGCACTGGCGGCGCCCTGCTGAGTCGCCTCCCCGCCGCGCACCGGCCGCCGCCTGCAGCTGGGCGAACGCGGGGTTCCTCGGCGCCTCCCTCTCCAGCCTGGTGTGTGGCAACATTCGGTGGATCCTCATCCAGAACGCCATGCTGGATCTGCCATGGCTCCTCTCGGCGTGTCCAGACCTGCACCGAGCAGAGCGCATCTTGCTTGTCAGCCACCGCCCCTGGCTAGCGAAGAAAGCAAAAGTGGAGGAGGGGGCCAAGCCCCGGACGCTGCAGGCTAGAGAGCGGTGCGCGGAGGCTGCGTTGACGTGCCGTGCTACACCTGAGACTACACCACAGGCACCACAATAACTGCCATGCAGTACCATGCTTGCCGAACGCCCAGCTTATGTGTGGTGGCTGCAGGAAGCTGGCGGACGTGCGGGCCCTGGGCCTGGAGGACAGGGCGTCGGTGTACGAGCCTGCAATTGGCGGCCACGGCACGAACCACAGGTGGCAGCGGCACAGTGCAGTGAGTGGGATTAGAGATGATGTGCACTAACGTGCGCTCCGCCGCTGCCTACACGCTGCAGCAAGTTCTTCCTGGTCGACTATGAGCGGGGCATGCGGGTCATTATCATGTCAGCGAACGCAGTGTTCTCAGACTGCAACAACAAGACCCAGGGTGCGCTGGGCGGCTGTGAGATCATGCCGTGCTCCTCGGCCGACTTTTTTGACGAGCCTGGCTGCTGCGCTGCCTCCCGATGCTGCAGTGCTCTTCACCCAAGACTTCCCTCGCAAAGACGAGCAGTCACCAAAGGTGAGTGCGGCCAGGCAGCACCCGTCCTGGACCTTCTGCACTGCGAGCAAATTCCTCTTCGGCAGGAGACTGTTGCCTGCCCTGCGTACCCCTCCGCCTCCCTGGCGCAGACGTCAGCATTTGAAGGAGCCCTGGAGGCATACATACGGGAGCTGAGGATGCCGTGCGGGCCCACCCTGCACTTGGTGCAGCTGATTCGCAGCTGCGACTTCAGCGCGGCCCGCGGCCATCTGGTGGCATCAGGTGTGCCTGCTGCTGCTGCTGCTGCTGCTGCCGCTGCTGCTGCTGCCGCTGTGGTTGCAGAGGCGATTCCGGGCGCAGGGGGTCAAGCGAGCTGTTAAAGGGCCGCTGTCACGTTTTTATTCGCCTGACTAGCACCTTGTCAGCCGCTTGGTGCCTCCTCCTCTCCCTCTCCCTCCACCTGATTGACACCCCGCCACGGCCTTGCTGCCCCTCCTGCCTACCTGCCCTTGCCCCTCCCCTGCCCACCTTGCAGTGCCCGGCAGGCACAAGGGCGCTGACCTGCACAAGTGGGGCCACATGCGGATGCGGGCCGTGCTCTGCCAGGAGGCCTTCCCCGCCAGGTTCAGGGGCGCCCCGCTGGCGGCGCAGATGAGCAGCCTGGGCCTGCTGAACGAGAGGTGGCTGGTGCGGGAGTTCCGGTACAGCCTGGCTGCCGGCCTCTGCGAGGGCGGCACAGGTGAGGAGCAGGTGTTGGATCCCCGTTGTAAAGGCGCCGGCATGGGAGCATGCTGATCATCAGAATGCGTGTTGGTGCAGCACATCACATCAAAAGCACACTACAGCACAGCGCATGGCATGGTGTGCGCCCTGCCCTTGTCTCTGTGCAGACGTGCTGGGACTGCCAGCAAACGGCCCCTTGGGGCTACAGCTGGTGTACCCGACAGTGGAGGAGGTGCAGCAGTCGATCGAGGGCTGGATGGGCGGCATTGGTGGGCTGCCGACCCCAGCGTGCAAAGTTGACCAGCCATCCCTGCAGCAGTATTATCACAGGTCCGTGCCTGCTCAACTGTGCATGTGTGCTTGCCCTTGCCCCTGACCTGCTGCTGCTCTTCTTCTGCTGCCTGCAGGTGGACGACTAGGCCCGACAGGCGGCACCGGGTCGCGGCGCATCCCAGCGAGCGGGAGAGGGCCATGCCCCACAGCAAAGCCTACCTGCGCTGGAGCCATGGCGACCACGGTCCAGAGATCGCCTGGTGCTATGTGGGGTCGCACAACCTGTCCAAAGCAGGTGCTATGCCGCCTGGAGGGGTCGCCGCAGGAGAAGGGCAGCCTGGGCCTGTCGCATTGCCTGGCCTGCTGATGGCTTGCCAGTATGCCCCGGAGATGCTGGCTGCCTCCCCCCCCCGCAGCGTGGGGCTGCCTTGAGCTCGACGCCAGCCAGCTCCACATCTGCAGCTATGAGCTGGGAGTTCTGCTGCTGCCGCGCCTGGAAGCGGCATACCGCACCTCCCGCTGGTGTGGCTTCAGCTGCACTGGCGGGCAGCCTGGAGCTGCAGCTCCCCGCCTGGCACAGGCAGCGGCAGCAGCGGGAGCAGCAGGCACTGCAGCAGTGCCCAGTGTGCGCTTCCTCCAGTGGCGGCAGGGTGACAGTCAGGCGGCAGAGATGGTGCAGGGTCAGCTGGGCGTGCCGCTGCCCGTTCCCTTCCATCTCCCGCCCGTGCCCTACCAGCTGGGGGGCCCGGTTCGAGATCGGGTTTGGGCTGTGGACACACCTTGGGAGGGCCTGGATAGCTGGGAATGCTCTGTGCAGCAGCCCCACGGGCGAGGAGCGCACTACGGCCTGCTGGAGCAGGACGATTGGAGCGATGCAGCATACCTGGATGAGTTGTATGATGAGCAAGTGGAGTGGCTGCGCCGGGAGCAGCAGCGACCGACGCAGCGCCGCAGGCTGTAGAACGACGGCCGGTTCGACTGAAGCAGCGCCGATTAACTCTCAATCACGCGGCATGAAGTACCAGTGCCATCCAGCAGGCAGCACCTCGGCCTGTAGAGAGGCGGCGGAGTGTGCGACAGCCATGTGTTGCCCCCTGCAGGTAGGCCTCCCGGTAAGGATGTGCCCCATGATGGGCATGATCAGGTAGGCCTCCCGGTAAGGATGTGCCCCATGATGGGCATGATGGCCCCCCACCTGGAGGGTCATTGGGGACATCATCCTCAATCATGCATCATTCTCCCTCCCGTTTGTTCTGTTGGCATCCCAGCAACCGTAATACGCTTTTCCAACGAACTCAACCCCCATGAGCACACATGAGCATGGTGCCCAGTCCGGCAGCAAGGCTCTAGGTCCAACGCCGCTATTGAGCGGTGCAGCTAACCAAGCTAAGCAGCTGAAGTCGCGCTTCAACTCGTGGGAAAGGTTTTGTGAAGCACATCCACAGGCGCGCGTCGCCATCGCCGTTCAGTCAGGCTACTCCCACGAGATCAAGTTCTTTTGCCATTCCATCGTGTTCTGGGAGGAGTTCAAGGACTTCTTCACTGAGCGGTGCGCCGCCGCCGGCAGCCGCTCCGAGCGGTCGCGGCTGAAGGGCGAGCTGGGCAAAGCAGGCATTGATTTCAGCAAGTTTCTGGCTTTGGCAATAGACCTGTGGAAGGCAGAAGGTGTTATCTCTCAGTTACAGGCAGATGTCATGATCAAGCTGGCAACGGGCACTGCATTCGACACGGATGGTAAGCCGGGCTGCCTTTGCCCGCTGGCATGCCTCGCTTCTCGCCTCTC